ATATTAAGAAGATGACATTTTGTTTGATGTTGACAGCTAAACAAGGTTTGTGGGCGCGGCGCGAGCCGAGTCGGTCCCAATTGACGTGAACTAAACTACTGCAACCCCACTTCACGCAAATATGAAAAATTTACAATATTCGTCACGTGACAAGATCCCAACGTGAACGTGAACGTAGCTACAGTAAGTATCTAAAGACAATAGAGACTACTAGTATTAACTATATGCGCTAATCACACGCTCGGAACTTGAACGTTTCTTGGATAATAATAAATAAATGACCTAAAGTAGAGTTGGCATAGTTAATCAGTCGCCGGAACATTCCCCTACCACTCATATAATACGGTGGCAATTTCACACACAGTGAAGATTAAATAGATTATGTATTCAGTCGATATTCAAAAAATAGCAGGAACACAACTCACCGAGATCAATTCCTGGATTCACTGGGCCTGCCATGTTTCTAAAATCGTACGACCTACTTATTGGGTCAGAGGTCAGTAAATAAAGTCACCTCTGATTTGTACATGTATGTCGTCTTTGATTGATATTCCGTGAACGATGTTCAGTATATAAGAAAAGACGTGGTTGGAAAATGTGGTATTATATAAAACTGCAACCTGCTTTATGAATTTATTTTAAAAGAATCACAAGGCACTGAAGGTCATAAGGTCAAATGCAATCTCGGTATATATCTACTCTCGCGAATTGCGAGAATGAAGATACTTTCAAAGCGCATGCGTCGGGCCATATTTATCATGGCCGTCGTTGGGAGTTTTGTTGTGCTTCTCTGAGCAAGGAAACTCAAAACACTTTTCGAACGATAGCACGAAAATTGTTCTTGCAAAACAGAGTTTGCCAAGGTAATGTGGTTTTTCTTTGTGAATTGCTTATAACTGCATTCGTTGATTCTTCAATCCTACGGCGATGCATTTAAACGAGATGTAATTTAAGTCGTAAACACCACGACGCCCAAACAACGAACGATCTTTGCATTATTATTATCTCAATGATGTACTTTTATAATTCCGCTGAAGATGTAAATTCACGTCTTTGGTAGTTGTTAATTATATTCTTACAGTGTATTTGTTGAGCATTTGATGATTATCGAAATCTTGTTTTTGCACCCAGTGTACGTCTCGAAACATCAACATTTTATAAACATGATTCACTCAGGCTGATTGGATTGACAAGAACTGTCTGCATGACTTCACAAATATGTACGAGCCGCTCAGTATTCGGATTTAATGTTAAACATATACTGCAATATTAATTTTAAAAAAGTGCTGTTTGTACGCCCTGTCCTCATAAATTGGTTATGCATTATTTAAATAATTCTGACATCCACATGACTCAAGTGTCAAATTAGTTGTGTACAATATATAGTTGTTTTTGGCCTCAAAGTTTTTGCACTAGAAAACGCAAGGGTGATAAGGCTTGATTTTCAAGGACACATGTTGGACTCTTTTCTTTCAAGTTTGTCAAGAAACATGTCAGTATTGTTTCTTTGTGAATATACAGTTGTAGAACCTGTTGTTTTCCAATAAACAATTTTATATGTCAAACCATCGCGATCCAGATTAAGTGGCTTCTGAGAACAGGACTGATACATGTATTTTCACTGCTATCTAAAAACTGGTTAAAGCAGCTGATCTGACTACATATCAAAACATAATAAGGTTATCGTCATGTGGTGTGATGACTGTTGTTCTTTTATATTGGCAAAGTTTTTGTTGAATGCATATACCATTACGATATTATTATCATAATTTGTTTTCTTTTTCTTTTTCTATTCAGCATTAAGAGAGGAATCACATTGCAAGAAACCATAACTGCTAGAATGGTATAGACATTCATTAAAGAGACATCACTGTTGTATTTGATCTGCTACCAGAGACAACAAACAACATGCATGTGGGAAATTATCGTATCATTCTCTACCTCCAGCTCTTTCTACTCTTTGTGGATTTATTTGTCAACTCATTTTCTGAACTAATGAGAATAAGTCATGTGACATTATTGGTGCTTTTTGTGTAAGTATGTGTATAATTGTCCTGGAAA